GGAACACCAGTTCTTGAATGTTATAGACATAGGCTTGTAGGAATTGCAAATCTATGTAATTCATTGCGCTCAAGGCTTAATCTAAAAGGGGTTTAAAAGACATTAGGATTCCTATAAGGTTAAAGATTAAATAACTAAGACATTATAATTTAACAAATTAATTTGTAGATGGTGAATTATTTGAAATAATGGGGATAAAAAGTTATTGAATTGTGTTAAACCAATTAAGGGCGATAAAAGGTGAAGTAAACCTAATTGTATTTTTATTGATAATTTCAAGTTCATGTTTTATTCTTTAGTCTACATCTTTTATTTAATTTTTAATTAATTTTTGGTTACTGGTTGAATTCACTTTTGAATTGTCTAACATAGATAAAAGCGATGAATGATTGTTTGAATTTAATCTTCGTGAAAACGATATTCTTATTTAATCACTTTATTACTTGGAACGATCGAAATATTTACTGTGTTCGCAACAGGCTCCAAGCTTTAGAAGACTCTTGGTGACCAAAGGAAAGAAAATAGGGAAGTAAGGGGGAAGAAGAAGAAATTAAGGTTATTGTGGGGAAGAAAGAGGGAAGAAGAAAATGGGCAGAAGAGTTATAATGGGGAAGAAGAAGATTAGAATGGATTAACCTAATACATTAATTCGGTATCAGGCCTAATCTCGCCTCTTAAGGCTATTAAATTTTTCATCATTTTATTGCATCAATAGATTTTGTCATATAAGTTTGTACTAAACGTTAGTCAAATCAAACAACTAAAAAAGTATAATATAAACTTATATTATTAGGCTTTATACATCACATTAAACATGTCTTAAATTAAAGAAACCGCCAAAATTAGTATAGTTTGCAAATTGAATTGATTTTGAATGAAAAAGTTATTCTATTTAAATTTAACCTTTATTTAGTTTTATTTTAAATTTAAATTCGAATAAATTAAATCTAACCCATTTTAATACGAATTAGATTAATTTTGATTAAAAGAACAATTGAAAAATAAAGGAAACATCAAATATATTTTACAAAATCAGTCAAAAGTTTAATATATTTCCAATATTTTTTTTATTATTTTATAAATAAAATCTTATATAATTCTTATTTTTAGATTTATTCACTCCTTTATATGAACATTCAATTTTACAATATCCAAAGAATAATTAAATTATAACAAATAAAAAGTAAAACATAATGTTTATTTTGTTTCATTAGTATTCTGGGCAAAGTTTCAGATTATAAGCAAAAGTTACTTATGACAAGCTCTTTGAATCCTCTCCTTTTTTAAGTCAGAGATTACGCATAAGTTAAAGCTAAAAAAAAACTAAAAGCTGTTTGTTAATTATATAATTTTTTTAACTTAAAAGTACATATTTCAAGAAAACTATCTCTCTCTATCTTTTTTTTTATTGCTCCATTGGTTTCTGGGGCTTCGCCCCGACTATGTCTAGTCTGACCCGGGTAAGTTACCTAGCATTGGCAGGTGAGTCTCTCAGCGAGAATTTTCTGCATACACAAGGTCTCGAACTCGAGTCCTTGCTTAAACGAACCCAATTGCCTTAACATTTGAGCTAACCCCCGTTGGCACTCTCTCTATATTTATAGCTCATTTTTTTTTATAAAAAATACACAATTCAAGAAAAACAGATAAGAACTTTAAAAAAAGCTCTTAAGATGAGTTTTTAATTTTTTCTTCATTATAATTTTTTTTCTCAAAGCCTATTTAGCCTTGTTTATGCTTATAAATAACTTCTAGCTTAAAAAAAAAAAAACCAAGCAGACACCAGAGAACTAGGACCTAAAAACTGGGCATTATGTCAAGAAGAAGGCTGCTATGTATTTATTGACAAATTACTCGTGATGCAGAATTTCAACTTTAGATCACTCAACACTTTTCCAACAATCACAAAGCTTCTATAAAAAAAAATTAGAGTAAATATATTTTTGGGTCTTCAATAAAAAACATGGAACTTATTTTAATTCTTTAGAAAAATAAATCTATATTAAATCTTTTTTAGGGACTGATGTGAATCATTTTTCAATTTTTGAAGAATTATAATTTCAAAGAACTCAAAATTTCAGAGTAATCACAAATTAATTTTTTTCTCTCTAAAGAATTAAAATGAATTCTGTATTTTTGGGTTGAGGACAACCTAAAATGATATCACTCAAAAAATTATAGTATATGGGGATACTTACACACAACGTAAGCACAAATTCTCTCGTGCATTCTTTGACACTCTTTTTCCAATTCGATATATATATGTAATGGGTCGATTTTTCTCTTGTCGTAGGAATTTAAAATTTTACTACAAATTATGTACTTCACATAGTACATAGTTATAATATAAGAAAAAAAAATAACTTTTAGTATTATAACTATGTACTCCTTGGAGTACACAACTTATAAGAGAATTTCAAATTCGTGCAATATAAGATCCTATTATCCCATACGATATATATATATATAGGGCTTATCGTTTCTCAAGCTGCTTGAGATAATTCTTTCTCCGGCTACTAAATCATAACCATACAAAGATGAATCAATGGTAATGAAGGGAGAGAAAGAAAAAGGGAATCATAACTATTCAAAGGTGAATCAATTAATATAAGGAAATAAATGAACAAAACGACGTAATTTTGGGGTGGCCGGAGATAAACTTATCTCAAGTTGCCGGAGAAATATTTTTCCAGATATATATGTATAGGCTTATCGTTTCTCAAGCTGCTCGAGACAATCATATCTCCGGCTACTAAATCATAACCGTACAAAGATGGATCAATGGTGATAAAGGAAGAGAGAGAGAAATGGAATCATAACCATTCAAAGGTGAATCAATTAATATAAGGAAATAAATAAACAAAACGACGTAGTTTTGGGGTGACCGGAGATTAGCTTATCTCAAACAGCTTGAGAAATGTTTTTTTTTCTCTCTCACCAGATATATATATATAGAGAGAGCTTATCGTTTCTCAAGCTGCTTAGATAATTTTATCTCCGGCTACTAAATCATAACCGTACAAAGATGGATCAATGGTGAAAAATGAAGGGAGAAAAAAAGAGAATCATAACCATTCAAAGATGAAACAATTAATATACGGAAATAAATAAATAAACGATGTAGTTTTGGGATAGCCGGAGATAAATTTATCTCAAACTGCTTGAGAAATGTTTTTCTCATATATATATGGGAAAAACATTTCTCAAGTTGCTTGAGACAAATTTATCTCCGGCCACTTCAAAACTACGTCATTTTATTTATTTATTTCTTTATATTAATTAATTCATCTTTGAATGGTTATGATTCTATTTCTCTCTCTCTTTTTTTATCACCATTGATCCATCTTTGTACGGTTATGATTTAGTAGCCGGAGATAACATTGTCTCAAGCAGCTTGAGAAATGATAAGCCTATATATATATATATATATATATATATATATATATATATATATATATATATATATATAAAAGCTCGATTTGTTTTAATTTGAATAAGTTTTTAATTATACAAATTTTAAATTACTTTTGAAATAAAAAATAAAGAGATTTAGTTTAGTTGTTTTTTTTTTTCTACTGTGAATTTATGTAATTGTATTGTATTTCTTATTTTCATTCAATGAGAGAAAATTTTGAATACTTTTTTCCCCCTAAACCACCTATAATATTTTATTAAAGGGAAAAATGTTTCTGGAGTTACTGCAGATAAATTATCTGCATTTATTTCCATTTATTTCCAAAATGGCGTCACTTTGGTATTAAAATATTAAAAAATTATAAATATAAAGACCATTACATTCCTGAAATAAATTAAAATTACATAAACACCATAATTTCTGCCCCAAAACGACGTCGTATTGGGCTTACTGCAGATAATTTATCTGCGGAGTAACTGCAGAAAAAACAAAATATTTTAAAAGAGTGTGGCAGCATTTTTTCTCTGAATAAAAATAGAAATATTTTATCCTTTTATTTATCATTCCTTAACAATTACCCCTGTTTAGCTACCCATTAACAAAATTCTTAAAAATTTATTTTCGCCGTCAATCTACTTTGCCATTTAATAATGAAAAAACTATTCTCATGTTGTGAGATAATTTTTTTTTTACACACTTTTCGATAACTGGATCATTTTTTCAGGTGATAAAACTTACAAATTTATTTCTGTGACAGGAAATAACTTATCTCCTTTAACGTGAGATTAATAGAACCATTTAATAATTGTTGTGAACAAAGAATGAAAGGCTTGAGAATATGGTTTAGACGAAAATCAATATAGTATACCAGATATTAGTCAAAGAAAGACAGAATCATAAACGATAAACCGCCAATGAGGTTCGACAGGAAAGCCAGACAATTGGCGGCAATATACAGGTGGTTCTATAACAATCCACAGCAACGATCTTTGAAAACTTTGAAACTTGCTCGATTGAAAAATCACCGAGAATTTGTCAAATAAAAAAAAATGTAAAAATCTTGGTCCATTCTTTCTAAAAATTATAATAAAAAATAAAAAGGACAGCAAAGCAAAAACGAGAATCCAACAATAGCGCTCCTCCACTGGTGGGGCAGACCAAGACCACTGACCACTCCAAAATTCCAGACCCCCAAAAATAAAAATAAAATCACATGATTCCCCCAATGTCGGTGGGCCAGCACCCACGGACTTCACACCACATTCAAATTTAGTTAAATTGCCTTAAATGAAACAAATAAAATATCCTCCATCCTTGTCCATCAACAATGACCAACGGATCCCACACGCAAATTACCCACGAAGTTTTTTATTTTTATTTTATTTCAATTATTATTTTATTATTTACACAGATATCGAAAAAAATAAAAAAAATAGAGAGCAGAATGCGGCTTTTTCTGCTACGCACGCGCCTGTCTCTATCTGCCGTTAATGAATTAAATTAAAGTAAACCTATCTATCCCACTTTTCCCACCACTATATATACCTTGCACCCTTTCTTTCTCCCTCCACTCAAACCCTTTCATTTTCTCTCTCTACACTCTTTCTATATCTCAAACTACTACACTACTGTGTACCCCAAAGAAAAAACCCAACATCCTTTACTTTTTCAAAATGGAGGAATGCAACAACAATGATAAGAGAAAGCGAGTTCGGGATGACTCGGAGGTGGACTCGTCCGAGTCCAAGCATCTCCGAGTCGACTCCGATTCTGATGCTAACTCGTCCGAGTCTCAGCTTACCCGGCTTAACTCGAGCGAGTCATGCATGGACTCGAACGGGTATGAACTCGTACGAGTTGAACCGGAAGACTCGCTCCTTGACTCGTCTGAGGTTAAAGATATTCCAGATGACCTTCTGAACATGTTCGACGACGCAGATAATGTGACGGAGCGTGACCCCATCGTGCAGATGCAGGGTCTCGACTCAGTTATCAAAAGCTTCGAAGAGGAAATACTTGCCCCGGTTTCGTACCCGGATCCGGATGTTGAATCCGTTTCCGGGGAGTTCAAGCTGAACCTCGGGTATCTATTGGAAGCGTCCGATGATGAACTCGGTTTGCCGCCGACGGTGGCGTCGACCGAGAAGGAAGGGAGGCGGGAAAGCGATGATTCGGGTCGGGTCGGCCCGGAAGGGTTGGATTTGACCGGATTCTTAGGGTTTGAAGATGAGTTTCGGAACTACGAAGCCTTTGGGTTGGTGGGGTATGACGCCGACGATAACGGCGGCGGTTATGTTACAATAGATGGGTTGTTTGATTATTCCGAACCGGTTGATATTTTGTGGCGGTCGGAGTCGTTACAAGCTATGTAGGACGTTTCCGGCGTGGCGAGGTTTTATGGTTGTCTTGCCGGAACGTTTGATTAATGGCATATTATTGGAACATGTAAATCTTAACAAGATTTTAGGCACCTCAGATAACGTAGGCGGCAGATGTGAAAATTTAGAATTATAAAATTTGTTGTTCTTGTTTGTTAAATTCAACTCAAACAAACAAATAGTCTCTGACTTAAATGTGAATCTAGATTATTATTGTACCCAGATTCAGTCTTTTTTTTTTTGCTATTTTTTGTTCATTTGGGTTTTCGGGTCTAGTTGCGAATTCAATTTTATTTACAAATATTTTTTTGTATTGATGACCGTTGAGCTTAGTATATAGGTCAAGCCTCTCTGTCCTAAAATAAGGGGAATTGAAGTAATTTCATTGTAAGGTTCCGTCCTAAAAGAATTAGGGATGTTGGTAGTATGGATTAGATTAGTTTTGGAAGTAAAAATTATTTGATTTAAGAGTAAACACCATTTTTAGTCCTTGTCAATATCTAACTCTTTTTTAGTCCCTGGCAATAAAAAAAGACCAAATTGGTTCCTGAAATTACAAAAAAAGGACCATGTTAGTCCTTATGTCAACTCCCAAATATGTAGAGTGGCCCTTTTCTTATACTTTCAGGGACCAATTTGGTCCTTTTTTATTGCCAGGGACTGAAAAAGACTTCGTAGATATTGCCAGGGACTAAAAAGGGTGTTTACTCTTGATTTAATTTCTTTGGTTTAATCGTATAATCATTCGTTCGGTTTGAAATTTTTTTCAAATTCGATCCGATCCGATTCAATTCAATTTTATTCGATTTTGATTGGATCGGTTTTTAATTTCTTGAAAAGTGTAAGATTTGAATAATGATTATTGTGCAAATAATATATATATATATATATATATATATATATATATATATATATTTTTGACAACAAAATAATATATTTTTTGTATGTATCGGTTTTGTAAAATTTGTATGAAGATTATTGTGCAATCTAGAAGTATTGTACAATAAGAAGTTAATTATTATCTTTTATCTCTAACAAAAAATTTATAATATGATTGCTTGAAATACGAACTAATCCAAATTTCAATTCTACGAGGAGCTGTTATATAATAATAAATTATGTAATAAAAATATATTATGTATCTTACAAAAATGAGAGCATAACATAGATCAAGCAAAATCGACTTTCTCCAACACGATGGGTTAATGAATTTTGAATTTAAAATTTTATATGATTTTTGCGCTATGATTAGAGAAAGGCCAAGTAGGTAGAGAGTCAGGTTGCGAAATTATGGATCGGTTTGCATTGGATATGTTTTTACTAACTTATCCAAAAATAAATCAATTTTCGATTAATTTAGTTTTTGATTTTTCGATTCGGTCACCGTAATTTGAATCCGTTTGAATACGTTGATGAACACGCCTATGTCACGCTAATAAGATAGATGCACATGTATGACCGTATGGGATTTTGTCAAAGATCTTGCTTTAAATGTTTATATTTATCAACTTTTGCACATGACAGTTGTGAAAACTTAGTTGAGACAAAAATCCTTTTCTAGTTAGTTGTTAGGCAGTAGCTGAATTAAGCTCATATATTTTATTTTTGGTAAATAATGAAGCTCATATTTTACCAAATGAAGTTAGGTGATTATGGTGTTATATTTTTTGGGTTTTATGATTCATATGAAATAGGAGATAAAAATTATTTTTTACATGTATATAAAGTCTCTGGGATCACGTGAAAAGAAAAGAGATAAAAAAGAAATATGAGTTTTTCATATTTCTGTGTGTATAAAAAATTATTTGTTTAAGAAAAAAATGCCCCATATCGTTATTTGTTTTCCTTGGTTTCAATTATTAATATTATCACAATATTATAAGCATTTTAATCGATACATTTGATTTGTTTTATTAAACTCTTCAGTACCGCTAAAATAATTATTTTAGGATAAATGCACATAATCCATTAAAAAGAAGGGGACATACATAGATGTGGGATCAAGAGTGTAATTGATTTTATTTACTTTTTAATTTTATAAAAGATATGTAATATGTATGACTCAAAAGAGATAGACATATCAAATATGGCTGATTATACTAAAATGGTAGGTAATATAATCAGTGTTTTTACTAAAATAAATCATATTTGAAAATAAATCTGTCTATCTGTTTTTTATTATAAAACTATTTATATTTTATTATGTTATACAACAAAATAATTTTCATCATAAGCTTATTTCTTTTTTATTTCTTAGGCTGCAGTGAAAGTTTTAATTTTTTTTTAACTCAGGTCATTCATATTTTTATTTTAATATATATATATATATATATATATATATATATAGGGGCATATTATATTTACAAACATTTTTATTTACAAACTCTTACAAACTACACTATGTAGGACCGGTCCTACATTAATCACGCAGTGTAGGACCGGTCCGGTCCTACATTAATCACGCAGTGTACGACCGGTTCTACGTTAGTGTAATTGCAAAAAAAGTTTGTAAACAAATTTGTCCTATATATATATATATATATATATATATATATATATATATATATATATAATTTAATATTTAGACGGTCAATTTTCATTCGGCGTAGTGGCGTACCTCCCTTTACGTTCAAGAAAGAATGGGCTGACCCGTTCTATTAATGGGCTAGTAGATTTGTGATTGGTTATGGGTTATATTGTTATGTTTCTAAATTTTTTTCCATTCACATATAAATTATTTTTTACTAATTTATTCTACGAAGCTGAGGTTTTACATATTTTATTTTTACTACGGGCCAAGCCATTTTGGAGAGAAGGATTAATAGAAAACACTCGGTTTTCCCGAACGACATTAATATCAACCATAATGGGTATGAATATTTGTAGTATACCCTTATTGTCGGGGCCAAACAAATAAAGCTGGTATAAATCAAGTAAATAATTCAGAAATCAAATAAAGACAGTAACAAAAAATAAATGACACAAAAACTTTTTATGTGAAAAACTCAAGGTGAAAAGAAAAATCACGAAACTTTTATCAAAGTCAACCCAAATCTCCGCTACAAAATTTTATATGTGTACACATCATAAAAGGGTGGTCACGGACCCAACACTTACTACATATAAAGACTTAACGTAAATAAATCAAGTATCTATTCGAAGAGTTAAATATATTCATAAAATTGGATCTATTTTCTTCTAGACATTAAAGTCCGTATAAAATTATTAAATTTAAAGCAAAACAAAATCTATCCTAATAAAGTAAAAGAAGAAAGAAGTTTATAGTCAAATTTACTCATGAGGCTCGTTGTTTTTCTTTGTGCAATTCCCCTCCGAACCCATACTTTTTAATCAAAAGTCTCACGTAGGCTACGTAGCTCTCTCTCTCTCTCTCTATCACTGGCTTCTTCTTATATGAGAAGTCTTTTTTCCTTTAATTTTCTCTCAATTTATAATAGATACACTCTGTCTGATTGGATTGGATTCACAGTCTCACTCCCTAATTTTACTTAGTCTTCATGTTTATTTTTTCTTCAACTTTTTAATTGTTGATTGGGATTCCAATCCGAATCATGTCCAAAGTCACAAGTATTACGGAAAGAGATGCTTTATCCGTAAATAAAGTAAGCTATTTGTCTCGTGGCATATTACATAATAATGGACAATAAGAAGCCAAGAATAATGTGAGTAATTAGGCTACATTGCTTTTCCCTGCAAAAGTTATTACAGATAGAATCCAATTATTCAACTTATAGGAGAACCGATGTTTGAAAAAAGCGATGCTCTACTCACTATAAATCCTCTTTGGTTCTCGACGTTCCGTTGTTGCTTTTTAAAATTCACTTTTCGTTTCTCATTCATACTATTTAGGAACTTTACAAAACACCTACATCTCATTATTGGGAGTTCCTCCTTCATTAACAAGGGTTGTCATGTAGTTTCCAAAAAAAAAAAAAAAAAAGGAACAAGTGTTGTCATGTAATAATCATCATCGTATTATAATAAGGCGAATAACATCCTACATACAATGATACAATAAGTGGAAATCCATTTAATTAGTTGGTACGTCAAGTGTTAGCTTTGCCATGTTAAATTTGCTTCTCGGATGTTAAAAGTACTTAATTTAACTTCGGATGACTTTACGTGCTTACAAATAACTCTTATCCTAATAATGGAACAGCCTATTTTCTTCAACCCATAATTCCATTAGTGTTCAAAATGTGATCACAACAAATCATATGCATGAACTCTTCATTCAATAAAATACTACTGTTCCAATCATTCATACTCCGAGCCAAATATGAAATAGTCAAACTGTTAGCACTTGCATTATTAGAAGTAACACAATAAATCTTTATATTGGGCTGCGACAAATCATACCTCTATTAACAGATTAACTTAAAACATTGAGAAATTAAGTCTATAAATCTTTTCTCTTATATGTCCTTTACTTATTCTATTCTCAACTAATTTGAAACTTTCCCACTTATATTTGAATTTCCAATATTCTTCCTTTTAAGTATAAATCTTAACATGAGTATGCTCCCACTCAACATATTATATGTTCTTTACTAATTAATCTACTTCTAATTAATATGAGATTTTATTTTTTACATTTGAATTCTAAACTGTTTGAGTAAAAATTAGTATAAAACTGTTAACTCAATATAAAAATATAAAGTGTCAATTCAACTCAAAAACTTAAGTTGAGAAATGAAAGCCCTTTAATGATTTTTATATTATCTCTCTTTAATACACCTCATGCAAGAGCCAGTTGAACTTGAAGCATAGATATTGCACTATTTCAACCTAAAAAGTTAAATTTAAAAGTGAACGCTCATTAATAATTTTCATATTATATATCTCTTAAAAAAAACTCTCTTTTTTTGTGGCGATATTTCAATCGGTTCATTGCCTTGTGACTAATCTGATTCGGGACAGGTTCCAAAATTAAGTCTTTAAACTCCTCCTAAATCTCTCTATCTGCTTAGTTCTCTAATACCAACTAAGCTACTATCATTTAGTAAAATTATTTTATTTTATTTTTGGTTAACTTCCCTCAAATGTGCTTTTGAGATCAAACTAATATTGATTTCAAAAACAAAGATAACTTTTTCTGGCAAAATCACGTTAGACACTACCAACATATTATGTCTTTTGTTGTCGCCCCATAACACAGTCACTACTTGGGTGTTGGGCGGGTTTGAGACTTTGTGATAAGGGGGTCTTCCTCTGAATGTGCGTGAGAAGGTCACCGAGTGACCTACGTTAGTGGGCCACAAAACACACAATATATGGAGTTACACTTAATGGGTTTCTTGGGTTTAAGGTTTGTCAAGTTATTTTCAGGTAGGTGAAATAAAAAATGGGGTTTATATGTCTTCTGCACCAAATTTTTTTTTGCCACAGAGACAATAAACAAGAGAGAGAAAATGAGATGAGGATAGAAAAAATAAAATTGGTGATCGCCACATGTTTGTTGTCTTTGCTGCAAATTTGTTTTTTCATGCAGTAATATAAGAAATGTAAATCTCTTAAAAAATTGGGTTTTGTAATTCTCATTTTACATGAGAATTGAAATCTCATGTCATATAGATAAAAAATACGTGAGACTCATATGTTAGAAAAAATTATATGTAGGACCCATATTAGCACGAAAATTGAAGTAGTGTGTAGGAAAATTCTAACTTTCATGTTACATGAAAATTATAAAACCATAAAAAATATGATGTCTAAGATTTAAACAAGTATTTTGGTTTATTAAATTTCATAAACATTATATTTTCATATTCTACCTAATTTTTATTCCATGATGAAGGATGTGTATTTTTTTTTTCATGTGGGACTATATATCTCAACACGCCCCCTCACGCAAGAGCCCTTTGGGCGAAAAGCGTGGAATTGCACAGGCCCAATTTTCAATTTTTGGTTTACCTTTTTGTGCTTTTTATTTTAATTCCACTTGAAAGTGAGAGGCGGTGAGAGCTCAAGCTCTAATACCATGTAAAGAATCTTGGAATACACCACCCCAAAAGCCAGCTCAAAGGGTGTGAGTGCCCAAGGCTTTATAAACTCCACATTAGTTGCACATACAACCAATGTGAGACTATATATCTCAACATCATAACGTGAAGATAGAAGTTATGTTACAAACATTAATATTCACTCTCACTTCTTTTTCTCATCATTTTAATTTTTCAAAAAACTATTTGTCAAAGAAATAAATATTAATCAAACATAATTTTAAATGTCCAAAGTAATATTTCTAGATATTCCTGAAAATCTAATTATATGCCTTGAAATAATTATCTTCTATGAATATTAATATACTAAGAAAATTATGGCATATTTTTTATTTGTTATTTATTAATTTTTTAATTGTTATTTATTAGTTTTTTAATATATATTTAAAGAGAAATTTTTTTTTATAAACAAAATTATCTTTTATAATTTCAAAACGATATCGTTTTAGAATTTCATATAAATTATGGATTTTAAAATTTGGATAAATTTTTTAAAATGACATCATTTTTTAATTGAAAGATGATATTTTTATTTTATGTAGAATAAATATTAATTTCATATTTAAAATATGAAAAAAATGTTTGTCCTTCTAAATGATATAACTTTGTGTCATTTTAGATTTTAACTGTTGATTTCCGTGTTATGATTTATTGTGAATTACTAATTAATTAATAATTTTGATCTAATAAATCCTAACTGTTGATTGATGAAAATCAATAATTAGAATTTAAAATGGCAGAAAGTTATATACTTTAAATGTATAAATATTTTTTCCTTTATATATATATACATATTTCGTACTGTTAAAATAAAAATAGAGTGAATATCATTTTTGATCCCTAACAAAATACACGATCCCTACTTTAGTTTTACAAAAAAAAATTAGTCTCGAGGTCCCTAACAAATTCAGAGTGAACCCATTTAGTTAAAATTTTCCTTCATAAATTCAAAAAAACCCATATTAGTTCCTCAAAAAGAATAAAAGCGATCCACTTTAAATTTCTTAGAGACCAACTGATTAATTTTTTTTTTTTTTATAAAAGATTAAAGTGGATACCATATATTTTTTGTTAGGGATAAAAAAAAATATTTACAGATAAATAAAAATAAAAATAGGGGAAACCCAATAGCAATAGATGATACGAGAATGTCTGCTGATCCACGTGTTGAGTTTTAAAAGATGAAGATGACGGGTATTATGGTTTACTTCTTTGTCAGTGTGATGTCATGTTGTGAGTTGTTGTTGTTTTGTCGTAAAATTATAAGATAATTGCTAGCTTTTATGCGGATACAACACGATGCCATCACGAGCAACCAAACATTCATCTGTATCTTGCTCAAAAAAGTTACCTACCTTTAACCACCACACACCCATACACATACACTCTTCATTTGTTAACCGTGAAGTGTTTAATAATATCTTTCCATTAAAATCTAAAACCAATTAAGCATCCTAAAACAAAAAAATGGAACCGAAACTGGCCAAATCAGGGTCCTTCCGTCACAGTTTCATGGAGAAGAAGGAGAGGCTTCTCTCCATGAAGGGTGATGGCTATTCCCATATAGGGATTGCCATGGCCGAGGAAGAGCAACCGAAGACGGTTAAGTGGTGGAAGAAGGTGCAGCACGTTGCAGGGAAGGCTTGGGAGATGGGTCGCTCTGACCCAAGGAAGATTATCTTCTCTGCAAAAATGGGTCTTGCTTTGACACTTATTTCCCTTTTGATTTTCCTCAAAGAACCCTTCAAGGATGTGAGCAGCTACTCTGTCTGGGCTATTATAACTGTGGTCGTCGTCTTTGAATTTAGTATAGGTACGTATATATATATATATATATATATATATATATATATATATGAAGCAAAATAATTTAAAAACCACCTTTTTTATTTATTTTCTTTTTGATATGGATTGGAGGGTGGGGTACTTCTATTCATCGACTCTATTTAGCTTCCGTGATATAATAAATGTCTTTTTTTTTTATGATTAAGATCTTGCAAAAAAAAAATTTCAAATATTTTTTATAAAAGATATTGGTCCTGTACTTGATTCGAAATTGGTAGTGTTGTGTATCTCTATTTAATGAATAAGTACGGTAGTTTGATGCGGGCATGGTTATATTTGTCTTCCTATAAGTCCTTGTTTTCAACATGAAATAAATAGCCTCTGTTGCTTTTTCAAAATCGGTTATTTTCATCTTATATACATCGTTTCATCATAAATATTTTTCTTGGGTCAACGCGGGCATATGTATGTATTATATCTGTCACTTAAATTCATAATAAATTATGATCAAACACAATGCACTGATGCAGGGGCAACTCTTAGCAAGGGGTTTAACAGAGGATTGGGGACCTTGTCAGCAGGAGGACTTGCTCTGGGAACAGCAAAGTTATCAGCTTTGGCTGGAGAATGGGAAGAACTTATAATTATTATTAGCATCTTCATTGCAGGTTTTGTCACCACTTACCCAATCACTTTCCTTTCATATATTGTTGATGAAAATTTATTATTTATACCTAAAGCCTGTGTTTCTGGTTCATGCTTGGTTTTCATTGATAGGATTTTGTGCCACCTATGCAAAACAATACCCGACTTTGCAGCCTTATGAATATGGGTTCCGTGTGTTCTTGATCACGTATTGCTTCGTTACAGTATCTGGGTATCGAACAGGGGAATTTGCTGATACTGCTATAAAAAGATTTTTGCTCATTGCACTTGGTGCTGCTGTGTCTTTGGGAGTAAATATCTGTATATATCCAATATGGGCTGGTGAGGATCTGCATAATCTTGTGATAAAAAATTTCATGGGGGTTGCAACATCTTTGGAAGGTTGTCCAGAATATTTTCTATATCATCACATTTAATTTGTAGTAACTACCATTCAGTTTGCTGTTTCTCTATCCTATTTCCTGGGTTGAATTGAATAACTGTGTTGAGTTTCTTTTCAGGTGTTGTCAATAACTACCTTAATTGTGTTGAATATAAGAAGGTGCCATCTAAAATTCTTACTTACCAAGCTGCTGACGACCCAGTTTACAGTGGATACAGATCGGCTGTTGAATCTACAAGCAAAGAGGATTCATTGGTACTGTCTAGTTCAGATTTATTTCTGTTTCGTGAATATTTGTTTATTATCTTTATGACTCATTGTCACGTATTGCTGATTGAAGATGGGGTTTGCTGTCTGGGAACCACCTCATGGTCATTACAAAAGGCTCAAATATCCATGGAAGAATTATGTGAAAGTGAGTGGGGCTCTAAGGCATTGTGCATTTATGGTCATGGCTATGCATGGATGCATACTTTCTGAAATCCAGGTACGACTCCTCCTCTGGAAACATTCTATAATGGTTGTTAGTGTCTTAAACTTAAAATTTTGTTTTTCGTTATGATGGGTAGTCTTCTGAATTCACTTTTCTTTTTGTATTTTACGAAGTGGCTTATGTTAAGTGGTGATATGATATTAGATAGGGATTATTCCATTTAAACTAAAGCCTAATCTAACCCGATCAGTTTATACCTCTATATGTAAGTACTATCATCTTTGATGTCATTTTTGTCATCAATTGTCATTATGAGATTGATACGGAGTTACTCTAATATTTGGGGAGTAGAGTCTCTCATTATTGATATATTAGTTAATATGATTATGTCATGTGAGAGGATTTTAATTATTCATGAACAAATCGATGGTGATGATTTTGTCACTCCCTATCTTAATATTTTGTCACTCTTTATCCTAATCTAACACATGAGAAAATCAACTTTCAAAATTTAGGGACCAAATTGGAAATAACTTAAGTATTGAGACAAAAAATATAATATTTATGATCTCAATACTTGCATTCATTTTAAGTTTGGTCGCTCTACTTCATTTTTTCATATAGAGACCAAATTAAAAATGATTATCTAGTATAGAGACTAAAAATATATTCTGTTCTATTTTATTTTTAAATATACATCAAACATAGAATACAACTCATATGTTAATAATGTTATGTTACTTTCTTTGTCAGATATATTTTTAGCTTACCTGGACAGCAAGTTTTATTTTTCATTTTAAAAGATGTTTGTTATCTATTTTTATTTTTATTTCTGAGTTATTTATATGTGTATGTCTAAATTCCCTTTGCGATACATAGGCCCCAGCTGAGAAGAGATATGTTTTTCGTAGTGAGCTTCTGAGGGTAGGTTCTGAAGGGGCAAAAGTGTTACGTGAACTTGGAAACAAAGTTAAAAAGATGGAGAAACTAGGTCGAGGAGACTTGTTGTACGAAGTACACGAGGCAGTGGAACAATTGCAACTGAAGATTGATAAAAAATCTTACCTTCTTGTAAATTCAGAGAGCTGGGAAATTGGAAACCGGCCAAGAGAGGAGGAAGGTGATCCTCAAGATGAGGAAAGAAAATTTCTCGAGTATAAGTCTCTTAGTGAAGCTGTACTTGATCTCAGATCAGTTAATGTTCCAAAAAGTTGGGATGAAAACTTAATTCCAGACTATAACACTGCTTTGCCTGCCGCTGTTTCCTCTGAAAACATGTTCAAGAAACAGATATCTTGGCCTACTCCTATTTACCATAAAGAGGATGCTGTGGCAAAAGAGGAAGAATCAAAAACTTTTGAAAGTGCTAGTGCACTATCTCTAACGACATTTACATCGCTTCTGATTGAATTTGTGGCAAGGCTTCAAAACCTAGTGGATTCATTTGAAGAGTTAGGTGAAAAAGCAAACTTTATGGATCCTCTCGAGCAACAAGCACCAGTAACATCTCGTGGGTTCTGGACCAGATTGTTTACCTTCTTGAAATTCAAGGATTGAAATAGAAGGGGATAAATTTTTTGTCACTACACCCACTTAAATAACGGTACATGGACTCACCTAAGTGTAACTATACTCATTTTCTTAACAACTTTATTTCTAATGTCACCTAAGTCGATGTGTTATAGATTAAGTGGGTATAGTATGAACTATGACTAAAAATTTATCCCTTGGGAAGCTGCTAACTCCATCTTCCTCCTTTGTTTATGGGTTGAAAGGGCTGATTGACCGTTTAAGGGTCATTTTAGTCTTTCCCTAATCTGAATAATGTAACATTTTTTAGTCTTCTTTTGTAAATCTAATAATATATATACAACACCTTTCAAGTTTAGGTGTGTGTACGATACGAGAAAAACTATTCTCATGTTACATGAGATAAGTTTTTTCTCTTACATATTCTTTGATAAGTGTGTCACTCTTTTTTCTAGTGGTGAAGCTCACGAATTTATCTATATGACATGAGATAACTTATCTCCTTTAATATGATATTAATAAAATCCGTAACAGACACCACTAAATTTAAAAACACAGATTAAAAAACTCTCCCTTGTCCTAACTCGATTGTCGAGTTTTAGAGATGAATAAGACTTTTACTTTCAAAATGTTTTGTTGAAATCGAATAATTCTACAGGTGCGCATTATTTAAAATAAATCTTCTATTAAATTATTATTTTTTACTATTGTTCTGTGACTCGATATTAATAATTTAATGTCTCGCCAAACAGCAGACCCTTCAGATCTAGCTCAACAAACAGGCCCAAGCAGCTCCTACGTTTGGGTGGTGTTTGGTTCAGAGCTTTTCAAGAGATATTTATGTTTTTCAAGTATGGCTTTTAGAAACACCATGTTTGTTTCAACATATTTTCACCAAAAACTCATCTATCCAATTTGTATGGATGTATGAGAAACATAGATATCCGCACTGTTTAGAAACCCAGTTTGAAAGTGGGATTTTTTGGAAAACCGGTTATCTCACTTTTAATGCACTGTTGATTTCATAAAAGTTACCTAATTTTCTCAGTAAAGTTTTTCCCCACCACAACTTTTTTTTTACATTTTTCTACCTATCTCACTTTATCTCACTTTCCAATCATTTCTCTATCTATTACATTTTCTTACTATTCCAAAAAAATTTCCTTAACCAGACACCCCGTAAGCTTTCTCCTTTTCCCACATGTCAATTTGTAGGAATTTTTTTTTTTTGGCCCCTAGTGTTTGAAATTAAGTAACTTTCTATGATTGGTCTTTGGCTGCTAAAATAAAAAACAAAGGAAAAAAAAAAGACTGCAGCTTTATGAGCAAAATGAACGGTCAAATTATTGATTTTACTGTGTAGTTTGCACCAAATTCCCTTTTCTTAAATTATTTTGTTTTCCTTTTCAAATTATATATTAATCTTTTCCTTTTTTTAATTAGTTTCCTATGTTTAAAAAGTTTGTAACTAAATTCTTAACATTTCACTAATTTTTATTTAAATCCTTATCATTAGAGCACCTTTACAAAATTCTAACAGTAGGATAGATTTAGGTTGAATTTTTTGAAATTTTAGGGATAGAGAAATTTTAGATTTAAATCTTATAATTTCTTAATTTTTAAAATAAGTCCTCTTAAATTCGACATACAATAAATAATGCTTTAACAGTAAACAAACGAGTAATTTTTTTGAAATTTTAGGGATAGAGAAATTTTGGATTTAAATCTTATAATTTCTTAATTTTTAAAATAAGTCCTCTTAAATTCGACATACAATAAATAATGCTTTAACAGTAAACAAACGAGTAATTTTTTTTAAAATTATAGGGACACAATTATAAATTTATAAAATATAAGGACTTGAGAATTTTCAAATAATACAAAAACTTCAATTTTAATTTAACCTACTCATTAGTAAATAAATAATCATGATAATAACAATATGAAATATTAATCTTTTTTACTACTTCACCAACGTACAGTTAATTAGGAATTCAATTTTAATTAATGTCAACACATAAAACTTTTTTATATTACTATTAAATGATTTGTTATATGACATTTAATAAATTTAATTTCTTATGTAATTTATTAACTCAGTCAAATTCATCAAATCTAATTAACAACACATTATAAAAAAAAATAACGCAAATTTTTTTTTACGCATCAACATTGTACTAATAATAAATGATAATATTATTTTCACCAAAAAAAAAATGATAATATTAAAACTTTAACCATCCATTCTCTCTCTCATAAGTGACAACTAAGAGCCTTTGAGGATAATTTTTTTTAAAAAAGTTAAAAATTGTTTGATAATTACATAAAAAAAAAATTAGTTTAAAAGTTACTTAAAAATACAGATTTCGAGAAAACTTTCTCTCTATCACTATAGTCTATGATGCACGGACACGGACACGGGACACGGGACACGACACGACACGACACGCCGACACGTTAATTCTAAAAAATGTCATATTTCGACACGTTGGGACACGTTTTGATATTAAATAATTTTTTTAATATATATAATATAATTTATATTTAATAAATATAAAAGTGTATAATAATTCATATAACTAATCAAATATTTAAATTTCATAACATAAATATAAATATAAATAATTTTCGTACTTTGTTAAATTTTCATGTCAAATTTCGTAACAGAAAAAAATTAATTTATAAATTATTTATTTTATATTTAGTTAAAGTAATAAAATTAAGATTTAAAAATAAAAAAAAATAAAAAAAAATAAAAAAAGAATAAAAAAAACGTGTCCGAGCGTTGACCACGTGTCTGAAAAAGTTGACTGCGTGTCGGAAAAACGTGTCGGAACGTGTCGGAGAGTTGACCGCGTGTCCTCAAATGTTGACCGCGTGTCAGACGCGTGTCCGAGCGTGTCCGTGTCGGACACGTGTCGGACACGTAAATTTTCAAAAAAATCACGTGTCCGTGCTATGGAGACTATAGTTCTTTATTTAAAAAAAAAATTCTCAATTCAAGAAAATTTGATAAGAACTTAAAAAAAAAAAGCTCATTCTAGGAATTTTTGACTTTTAGCTTTATTCTTCATTATAAAAAAAAGAATTTTTCATTACAAGAGCTTTTCTCAAAACCTGTTTAGTGTCTGTTTGGATCCTCTCTTTTTTAAGATAGAAGCTACTTATAAGCATAAGCTAGGCCAAACAGGTTTTGGGAAAAAGCTCTTATAACGAAAAACTATTTTTTTATAATGAAGAAAAAAGCTGAAAATTAAAAGCTCATAGGAGGAGTTTTTTTTAAGCTTTTATATGTTTTTCTTGAATTGTGCTTTTATTTTTTAAATGAAGAGTGATAAAGACAGAGAGAGAGATAATTTTCTTGAAATATGTGTTTTTAAGTAATTTTTAAGCTAAAATTTTTATGTAGTTTCCAAACAGCTTTTAGCTTCTTTTTTTAAACTCTTTTTTTAACTTTAGCTTATAAGTAGCTTCTAGCTTAAAATTACGAGGATCCAAACAGGCTCTATTCTAGCTTTTACTTATAAGTAGCTTCTTAATTAAAAAAAAGATCCAGATACTAAATTGCTTCAATAATTTTACGTTATCTTAACTCCCTTCAATAAATGTGTTTTGGCCGGCCCAATGCATCAGCCCAATAAGGCAAGCTTAGTCCTGAAGACCCAAGCCACCTCATCCCTAAATCCACCACCCTGCAAGTGCCATTGTCAAGCCCTGCAAAGCATACCAGCCTCCCAACGTAAGACACCAAAACGTTTTACGTTGGGGGACTCTCTCCTCCGTTTTGGTCTCTGCAGACACCCAATATATCACTCCCTCAACTTTACCTCTGCATGGCTGCTGCTGTTAGCAGAGTAGCAACTGCAAGAGGCCCTGCTACCCCTCCTTCCCACAACAGTTGAATTGGCACATCCCCACCATATTGAGACGTATATATATCCCCTCTTCACCACACAAAGGATGATCTTTTTTTGAGCCGTTACTCTGTCAACACAGAAAGCCACTATAGTCTTTGTATTTTACCCCTTCCCCCATTATATACACGTTGTACTGGGATCGCCTTTGTAGTGCTAGTCTTCACCATTGCTGCATTGAGTACCCTATAGCAACCATATCACCCCTTTTGGGGGTCATATTGGGCTTTCTAATAAGCCAACGGTTGAAATTGTATTATATCTTATCTCTTTTTTGTCATGATCAGAGCTTGTCATTGTGTTGGCGTTTGTTCTTTGATTTAGTCTAATAGATTATTCTAAATTTCTATCATGTATTTTAAAATTTCTTAATTAATTACTAAACTACATAATTATACCAATAATATAATTGACTTCTTATTAAGACATTAGCGGAGTGGTGAGTCTGGTGACATGACTATGTTAACTTCTTCTTAAAACAAAATATGTTGTATACCCAAAAAATAAAAATCATAACGCTTTAGTAAAGAATATTACACTGGCATGAAAAAATAAAATAAAATTCAGAGCTCAATCATATATAATACAATAATATGTTATTACAAGTGTCTTGTACATGGTGTAATGAAATTATAGTTCACAACCATACGGTACTTGGCCTCGAACCTAAAATCAAATTGATTCGTGGTTCCTCAAAGACGATACTTTGGCACGGCAAGTAAGTGCTCGGCTCTTGGTATTGTGAGGCCAAATTTCTCGCTCATGTCCAAGTCATCTGGAGTGATGGTCGGTGGAAGTTCCCAACTAAAGCAATGTGCTAATTGAGCCACACCAAGTTTAACCGTAATTAGACCCAAGTGTATTCCAGGGCATCCTCTGCGACCAGAACCAAATGGTATAAATTGGAAGTCAAGTCCTCGAAAATCTAAATTCTTATCGATAAATCTCTCTGGACAAAATACTTCAGCGTTATTAGACCATATCTTAGTATCTCTTCCTATTGCCCATAAATTTATAATGATTCTTGAATTTTTCTCTAGGAAATAACCATTAATCATAGCATCCTCTGTTGACTCGCGAGGTACTAATGGTCCAGGAGGATATAATCTTAAGGTCTCCTTGATCACAATATCCAAGTAACTCAATTTTGCTAGATCATTCTCCTCCACTAGTTTTTTCATTCCAACCACATTATCTAGCTCCTCTTGAAGGTTTTTCATCACTCTTGGATGCTTTAGGAGCTCGGAAAAAGCCCACTCCACAACAGTTGCTGAAGTTTCAAATGCCGCAGCAATCATATCTAAGACTATAGCTTTAATGTTGGTTCGATCAATGACATGGTTTTGTTCATCAGAGGGATCGATGGGTCGGTGCATCAACGAGAGTAATACGTCTATGAAGTCTTTATGGACATCTGATCCCTGTTCATGCTCCTTAATTATCTTCTCCAACAATTGGTCAAGTGCTTTACTAGTTTTCTTGAAGCCTCGTGTCAATCCCTGATAGTTAAATAACATAGTTATCTACTACTATTGAAAATTACACTGCCAAAAATCCAAAGCTTCATATTGAGTATATACAAAAAAATTGAGGTTGAGTTTCATATATTTAATCCATATAATATACCTGAAGATCCAAAGCACCAAGCCAAGGCACATAATCTGCTAGATTAAACGCTCCAGTAAGGCTCATACCCTGTTGAATTAGCCCCTTCAAATCAAACTCATCATGCTTACTAGATCCCAACACCATTTTATACACAATATCCTGTAAAAGATTCAGTATCACCTCGCTAAGGTCAACGACTTCACCCACCATCGCGGCTTTCTCGAGTGAATTCACCGCTAGTTCTATCTCCCTCTTCCTCAAAGGCGCAAAGGATTGAACTTTAGACGCGCTCAGAAGTTGTGAGGTACACACTTTCCTCATGTTACGCCAGTACGCACCGTACTCCGAGAAAACCAAACCCTTCGAGCCATAACCGAAGTACTTGCAGACTTCAAGTCTGGGACGGCTAGCGAAAACGGCGTCGTGTGTCTTGATGAATTGCTCTACGGCTTCAGAGGATGAAACAATAATGGTTGGGACCTGTCCTAGACGCAGAGACATTATGGGTCCATACGTTTTGGCCATGGCTTCAAGGGTGCGGTGTGGGAGCTTCCCCAACAACATGTGGAGGTTACCGATAACCGGCAAACCCGGTGGACCCGGTGGATGTCTCCGATCATCTTTGCTTTGTTTTCGACGCAAAAAGGTGGCTGAGAGAAGTAATATGAATATGAAAAGGAGCACATGGGGTATTGAAGGAAACATGATTGACCTTTTGGTTCCGTAAAAACGAAGGAGCTTCTGCGTGCGATTTTTCTTAAGCACAGTTGTCAACGAATGTAGTTAATATCGGAGCGAAACTTAGGCACTTTTGGACAGGAGACTTTCCATCATTTTTAAGAAAAGTAAACAAATTGGGTGGATATGTAAAAGATATTCTTTATTTTCTATCACTTTGACGAATATAAAAAAAAAATTGTCAACATATCATAGTTCATGATCTCTTTTGAAAGAAAATTTTTCAGGCGGATTCCTCCTTTTTCTCCTCGGCTATAAGGTATTTAGCAGCAATTTCCAGCTGTTATTTCTCTATTTTTCTTTTCTATTGCAATTTTTTAATTATTATATTATGATTTTTCAACTTTCCATATTTGATATAAAAAGAAATACCTAATTCGCACGTCTGAGTTGATTTTCCGAAGCTTTACGTTAAAATTTTTTAAATTTGAAAAAATTTGAATTTTTTTTCGTGAATTCCCTTCAAAGAGATGTCATTGCACATATATCAAAAAATTATGTGCAGTTAAAAAAAATGGCCTGATTTAGAAATCTAAAACAAAAATTATGACTTTTTAAAATTTTACAATTAAAATATTGACTTTTGTGACACGTGTCAATGATGTGAATGGTGTAAAGTCACGCCTGTGTAGGGCATGACTTTGCACAAGTTGCGCCTGTGTGGGACGCGACTTGTTGCTCCCACCAGGGACACGACGCAGTGCAGTAAATTCATAAATTGATTCAAAACGACTATATTAATTTTCGTAATTATTTGTTAAAATAATAATATATAAATTTTTTTGCCAAATATAAACTTAACCAAACATAGTTTTAAAAAAAATAATTATAAAAATACTTTTTTATAAAAAAAAAAAACTGAAGCTCTTAATTAGTAGGAGTTTATTTTTAATATGTATGTCAGCTTTTCAAAGTCTTTATATTCATTTTACAATTTCACCCATATTATAAACTTGTTTTACTCTAATAATCTATTCCAATAACAAATTATTTTATCTTCTCCTCTTTAAAATTATCAAAATACCTTTATATAATCACAAAAAAGCTTTTAATTTTTTTTTTTAAAATATACTAACTATTGAGAAGTAGTGGGAAAGAACTTACTAGGGCGATCACCAATGTTAGGTGTCTCTGATACTTCTTTGTTCATTCACTGATAGCTAACACAAATATGCGTTATAAAGTTCATATAATTTTGTTAAATTACCTTTAAAATAATTTCTATAGAGTACCTTTTATTTAAATATATTTACACACACCCACATATATATATATATATATATATATATATATATATATATATATATATATATATATATATACGCTTAATTTTTAATTATTTTATAAGTTTGGGAGATTCTCTTGATAATTTGTTGTTGTTGTTTGACCTATAAGATTTCTAATAATTAATTTTTGAGAAAAATGTTTCCGCAGTTAATGCAGAGAAGTTATCTGCATTATTCTCAAAATGATGTCGTTTTGGTATTAAAATCTTAAAAAATTATAAATATAAAGACTATTATAACCCTAAAATAAATTAGAATTACAAAAACATCATGATTTCCGTCTCAAAACGACGTCGTATTGGCTTACTGCAGATAACTATCTGCAATAACTGTAGAAAAAGCGAACCCTTAATTTTTTTAAATTCTATTTAAGTTTAGAAATATTTATGTAATGTATACTTCTGTTGCACCGGCACTGCTATGGAATATTAAATGACACGATATTTCGATACGTTAATTTTAAAAGATCTTAGAATTTTGACACGTTAGCACGCATTTTGATATCAAATAATATTTTTTAATTCATGTAGTTTATATTATATTTAATATTTAATAATTTAACGAAAAGATAAAACTAAACTTCTAGCGTAAATATCATTTTTGATCATCAGTAAATTTCACGATACCCGTTTTACTCCCTAGCAAATAAAAATGCTATTCGTGGTTTATAAGAAATTCAAAATGGACTCATTTAGTTGAAATCGTGGTCCCTCATAAATTCAAAAAATACCTACATTAGTCCCTCAAATGGACTAAAATGGTTCCACTTTGAATTTTTTAGGAAGCACAATAGCCTTTTTATTTGCTAAGGACTAAAGCGGGCATCGTAAAATTTGCTGAGGATCGAAAAAGATATTTACTCAAACTCATAATATCCAATTTTGCAAAAAAATATAATATATCCTAAATATTTATATTAAACTAAATAAAATAGTAATCGCAATACAACAAATTTAATAGTTGAAATTAAAAATGTAAATTAATATAATTTTTGAATTTTTTTTAAATCTCTGCAACGCTGATTAAAGTGTCAAAGAATATCAAAATATAGGAGAATCTCAAGAAATATCGAATATGACAACTCAAGTTTTTTAAATATGCATACAATATTTGTTAGTTTTAAATAATTTGAAACACAACGTTAGCGTAAACGACAAAGGTGGGGGAGCGGAAAGTCTTGTCATGAATTGATAATATCACGCTCATTTAAATTTCTCAGATCGGGAGGGCATGTGTCCCATCCAAGACAGGACACGATCGTTATCTTAGGAGTGTTTGAAACGTGTCATTTTGTAGCACTTTTATAAAATTAAATTTTTCTAAATTTTTATTTTTAGGATATTATTGGAAATCAAATATTTTCATCATACTTTTTAAAATTGAGATTTTCGAAAAAAAAAAATTCTTCTACCAATCGTCCCCTTTCATTTATTTTGGTACAAATTATCTTATTTCATTTTATCTGTTTAAATTATTAAGGGCATGTTTGATACATAGTATATGATAAAGTCTGATAGTATAAGATCTAATAGTGTAAGATATGATTGTATAAGACTTGATTAAATTTTTATACTATCCAGTATTTGACATGATATTATATAAGATAATATATTATATAAGATAACATCATCCAATATTTAGTAATACACTGTATAATATTAGATAGGTTAAAAATAAATATTTTTGTCAAAAATATCTTTTAATAATAAATTTACATAATTCTTCCAAATATATCAAATGATATTATTTAATGTAGAAATATGCTGATCAGTGTGTCCAAAAAATATATTAATTTTTATAAAAATAAAAATCTCCAATATTTAAAAAAATTGTATATTGAAAAATTATTTTTAATTTTAATATATTAATATTAAATAATATATTAATTCTTGAGAATAGATTTGATTAATACATCAATCCCTTATCAGGCCTAATTCTACACTCCTATGCCTGATTAAGTTATACATCATTTTGATGTATAAAAGGATCCTATTGTATAAGCTTATGCTATACGATGGTCACACCAAATAATTAAAAATGTCGTAATGTATAGTATAAACTTATACTATCAGGCCTTATACATCACACCAAAGAGGCCCTAAGGGCATGTTTGGTACATAGTATAGGATAAGACCTGGTCGATATAAGACCTGATTGAATTTTAATACTATCCAGCGTTTGGCATGATATTGTATAAAAATAATATCATCTAATATTTGGTAATGCACTGTATAATACTATATAGATAAAAATAAATAATTTTAATAAAAATATCATTTAATAAAGAATTTGTATAATTCTTCAAAAAAATGTCACATGATACTAATTTTTATAAAAATTTATTGATCAGAGTGTCCAAAACATAAATTAATTTTTATAAAAATAAAAATATTCAATATTTTAAAAATTAACATATTGAAAAATTAATATATTATTTTAATATTATTATATTAAAATAATATATTAATTTTTTAGAATTGCACTGGTCAACAATGTTAATACATTAATCTCTTATTAGTCTTGTGCTCTTGTTCGCTATAACATTTATGGTACCATTCTAATTGTTTTAACGAAGAGTATTTGTTCTTTTAAATGACATAATTTGTGTCATTTTATTCTCATAAAGAGATGAGACTCACATTTTTATTTTTTTTTGTCCACTCTCTCTCCTCCATGGTCGGTCTCTTTCTCTCACTTAAAATGACACATTTTACCCTCTTTTTTACATAAATTTATAGGAAAAAATGTGTGTCATTTTAAAAGATGTAAAGTTGTGTCATTTTAAGTGAGAAAAAGATATAGATCATAGAGAAGAGAGAGTGGAAAAAAAATAAAGATGTGGGTCCCGCCTCTTTGTGAGAGTAAAATGACACAAGTTGTATCATTTAAAAACACAAATATTTATTCTATATTTATATTTATAGAATGCTATAAAGTAAAACGTACATTTTCATACAAATTAAGTGTATAGCAATAAATTTTTGAAATGAATTGGTTTTTTATACGATATTACAGTTAGAGAGATGAAATAGTCACGATTTCGATCTTCTCCACATCTCACTTTGTGTGATGGAATTAAAATAGTATAAGATAAACCAAAAATTGGCATTTACATTATCCACGCTTCCAGACTAAAGGTTCTCGCTTGAAATAGTGTGTTAAAGAGATATAAAATTATTAATGTAACCTTAATAGTTTTTATATTTTTATAACTATTAAGGTTAGAGTATAATATAAACTATTGAGAAGCTTTTCACCTAATAGCTTAAAATTTTGGGTTGAATTGGTTATTTACATGGTATTAGAGTCTAGGTGTCACATGTTCGATTCTCTCCACCTCCTATTTAATTAATAATTAAGTAAGTCTTGTAGATTTTCTTAACCCAGGTAGGCGAGTTTGTGCATTATTCACCCTTCAATGATAACATTTACTTTATTTTATACTAGTAATAATTTTATTTTATTTTTGGGTCAATGATACACAAATTAATATGAGTAAATATCATTTTGGGTCCTTAACAAAAATTACGTAACTGATTTTAATCCCTTAGAAAAAGAAGTACCTATATTAGTCCTTTTTGAGAGATTAATATGGATCTTTTTTAAATTTTCGAGGGATCACAATTTCAAAGAATTGGAATTTATGAGGGACCACAAGTGATTTTTTTTTCCTAAAGGATTAAAATGGGTTCTGTGTTCTTTGTTGAGGGCTCGAAAGGATATTTACTCAATTAATATTTAAATTCAACCAACTAAATTTAATTTAAAATAACGTATTTGAATTTTTACATACTAATTATATACTTCTGCATTATTATGCAAACAACAGCATGTATTTGAGAATTTGAAGTTTTTTTTTTTAAATGCTTGAATTGTTTTTTCGCGTTATAAGGAGAAGTCGTTTTCTAAGAAACCCGAACACGCAATTTTTTTTAAAATTGGTGTGTTGGACACGTGTCCGACACCGCGTTCGACAAGCGGTCAATATTTTGAGACACGTGATCAATGTTCGGACACGCTCGGACACTTTTTTTTTAGTCTTAATTTTATTTTATTAACTAAAAATAAAAAAACATTTATAAATCAATTTTTTTCTGTTATGAAATTTGACATGAAAAATTAACAAGGTACGAAAAATTATTATTTTTTATATTTATATGATGAAATTTGAATATTTGATTGGTTATATGACTAATTATGAGTTGTTATATGTATTAAATATAAATTATATTATATATTTTAAAAATATTATTTAATATCAAAACGTGTCCCAACATGTTGAAATATGTTATTTTTTAGAATTAACGTGTCGACGTGGCATGTCGTGTCCCATGTCAGTGTCCGTGCATCATAGCTCGTTTTAAAGTGATGCCTAGGAGCAAATATTCGCAAATATTCAGTGAACTCGGTTCATGTGGGTGGCATAGAGAGAAAGTAGATGAGAGACACCATGCAATTAATTTCCGATGGCTTGATGTGCTTTTTTCGATGAAAAATTAATATTTAAAAAATACTATCCTTAAAGCTGCACGGGTAAGAATTTTTTAAAATAGATAAATCTATTTTATTTTTTACCTGCCAAATTATAATTGGAGGAAAGAGAAGCAGACAAAAAATGGGTACAATGAATTTCCATCCCAAAACTTGATGACAGTTTAATCTTAATAAATAATGGAGTTTACTGTCGTTGCAGCATGTGCCGACACATGCATATATTTATAAGCACATGGGAGAAAAGAAAAACAACAACAGAAATGGATCTAAGGTAGATGGATACGGAAGCGTGATGACTCCATCATCTGATTAAATGAGATGTTCTACACGAGGTGTTTAAACCCCTATTACTTGCATCCTACTTTTAGTCACAAATTAGGTGATTTTTACTTCACCTAACTTTAATAACTGTTTTGGTTAAACGATAATTAGAGATTTAGGAGGCATATTTTGTATTAATGCCATATTACATTGTAAGATATTGTGTAAGTGTTAAGAGGCCATTACTGCTAAGGTATCAAGTATATGATCTGGTTCAAAGTTCTTTTTATTATGATCTTAAGATCTACAAAACAGACATATTAGGTTATTTGTAAATAACGTTATTAATGCTTTCGTCGTCTCTCAACCATGTGATTTTCCATTATTTAGATATTGACGTACAACACATTCAATGAATACTCAATAGGCCTTACAATTATTTGGGCTTTGGCCTCATTTTGTACGCAAAAAAAAAAAAAGGCCTGACAATTATTATACTAACTCATTGCAGCATTAATAAAAACAAATGAATTATCTTATCTTAAATTTTTATATGATTAGATCGCATAAATTTTTTTTGTCTTTGTTTCTATCTTTATAAATTTTAATTGGACCTATTTATTTAATGTCAATAAAAAAAATTGACACAACGAAATTTCAGCCATGAGAATATTCATACTTTTAATAAACAAATTATTAAGGTCTGATAACTAACATGTTTGAGTTACCTGGAGCCACCATATTTACCAGGTATCAGCTTTTTACCCAACTACCAAGTTTTACCATATAATAATTTAGGGTTTCGATTTTTTGATGCGATAGGAGAATTTTTTTTTTATGTCGTAGACATATCTTATGTGGGATTCACATCTATTAAAAAAAAAAAATTTGTATCAAAATCGAAGAGTCACTGATAAGAAAAAAAGAAAATGTTTTCCCAATAATTTAATCCCTCTGCTCCTCACGTGTTCCAACTTTAATTGGTTTATAATTAAGTTGGTAACGTCATTTTTTGACCACAAATGTCAAAAAGCAGGATATTGTTTTCAAAACTAGACCAATTTTGGCGAAATTGGAATATATGACTTTCTCTATTTCGAGTGGGAGAGTATGACCCGTTTGCTGATTCGGCACCGTCTCCAACTCATGCGCTCCTTGTTCGTGTCATTTTCCACCCCATACGCTTCTATCTCTTGACCTTTCTTTAAAGCTTACTAACCAACTGAAGAGAAAACATTAACAGAGGAGAGTGCACATTGAAATTTCCCAATCCGAACATCTGCTTATCTTTCTCACATTAGGAAAAAGAAAAGCGCAAAGGTAAAGTAAAATTCAATGCACCGTAGAAATATATATAATTGGCTATTAAAGTTATATAAAAGGAAAATTAAACCTTCTTCTACACATATCACTAAAATATTTATTAACTCACTGTATACAAACATCATTTGGCCTTCTTAGTCCTGCTCGTGTATAGCATAACCGCGAGAAATATTCATGAACTTATTGTATACAAACATCAAATTGCATTCTTTTGACCTATTCAATCATGCATGCTTAGCATCACTAGCTAAACGATAACTAGGTATTGCCTGCAACTGCTGAGCTCTTGGTATTGAGAGCCCAAATTTTTCCTGCATATTTAAGTTATCCGGAGTAACGTTACATGGAAGTTCCCAATTAAAGCAATGCACCAATTGAGCCATGACCAGTTTAACTGTAATCAATCCAAGTTGCATCCCAGGGCAACCTCTACGACCAGAACCAAATGGAACAAAATGACAGTTTTGTCCTTGATGTTCTACTTTCTTTTTCATAAATCTCTCCGGATAAAATGTTTCAGCATTATCTGACCACACCTTCGGATCCCTCCCTATGGTCCACGCATTTATTATGACTCGTGACTTTTTCTTTATATAATAATCACCAATAGTAATGCTCTCTCTGGATTCCCGAGGGATCAATAATGGTCCAACAGGATACAGTCTTAAGGTCTCATTCACCACCATATCCAAGTAACTCAAAGTCATCAAATCCGTCTCTTCCACCATTCTCCCAATTCCAACTTGATGCTCTATCTCATCTTGAAGGACCTTCATCACCCTTGGATGCCTCAAAAGTTCTGATAAAGCCCACTCAACCACGGTAGCAGATGTTTCAATTGCCCCCACAATCATATCTAGTAGAATAGCCTTGACGTTAGTTCTATTAATTATGACATGGCTCTGTTCGCTCTGGGGATCCATGGGTTGGTGCATCTTTGAGAGTAGTATGTCAACGAAGTCCCTACGATGCCTTTTGTCTACGTTAGCATCAAGTTCATGCTCTTTTATTACCTTCTCCAGCACCTCATCAATTGCTTTACTGGTTTCCTTGAGGTTCCGTGTTATTCCCTGGCAAAAAGAGTTAAATAACGTTAATTAGTAATTGTGTATTTTCACAGAACTTAATAGAACTAAGAAAATATATGGAAAAAAAAAAAAACACAAAATGAAAAAATAAAATAAAATAATACTTTTGCTGATACAAATTATATATATACCTGAAGATCGAATACGCCAAGCCAAGGTACATAATCCGCAATATTGAAAGATCCGACCAATTTGGTTGCTTTTTGAACTAACCTCTTCAAGTCAAATTGATCATATTTAGTGCGACCCAGCATCATCTTATACACCATATCCTCTACAAGGTTCTCTACAACCTCGCTAAGGTTCACAACCCGACCCGCTGCCGCATCTTTCTCCAGTGACTTGACCACTAGACATAGCTCCTCCCTCCTAATAGGAGCACAGAGCTCAACTTTGGATGCGGTAAGAAGTTGCAGAGTGCAAAGTTTCCTCACGCTGCGCCAGTATGGACCATATTCAGAAAACGCCAAGCCCTTGGAGCCGTATGATAAGACCTCAGAAGCTTGAATCTTTGGCCTGCTTGCAAAAACGGTGTCGTGGGTCTTGAGGAATAACTCAGCAGCCTCAGAGGAGGAAACCACGATGGCCGGGACATTTCCCAGTTGCAAGGACATGATGGGACCATACTTTTTGGATAGGGACTGAAGGGTGCGATGTGGAAGGGTACCCAACATGTGGAGGTTCCCGACCATTGGCAGTGCTGGCGGACCCGGTGGCTTTTTATGACCAACTTTTCGTTGTTTTCTATGCAAGAAGACTGTGTATATGAAAGTGAAAAGAAGGAAAGCATAGATTGCTATTGCTACAGAAGACATGCTTAGATGTTTGCTTGATAACATACGGCAATGGAAAAGCTTTGATCTAATAATATACTATTGCTTAAATGGACTCTACCAGCATCCGAACAAGGACCATTATGGTGTTGTCCTCCAACAAGCAACAACTACCATATAGTAGGCCGAGCATTTATAATCCTGTTTCCGGGGTCACACTCTAAAATGAATTTTCTGTAAGCATTAACCAGTGATTCATGTTCAACAACAACCACATCAAGAACATGAAAGAGCAACTTTAGAATTCATGAGTTTCACATAAACATACCTTTGTTCATAAATGTGGAAGATCTTTAACGGTATAATACTTTCTTAGAGTCTTGACCCTTTTCTGTTCTTGTATCTTTTTTTTATAGTGATGGGATACAACTCTCATGGGCAGACAATGATGGACCGTCAGTTTCTCTCAGACATCAATAATCAGAAAACTGTTCATTATCTTTCTTATAACTGCACCTATCAACAGTTACACCTTTAAGTAACTTCCCTTAACAGTTAATTACCATTATGCCCTTTTATTAATTAAATCAAATGACACTTAATATTATACATGAGACAAATAGCAATCTATGCTTTCAATCTACCACACTGGCGACCCGCGCCAGTTTACGAACTGTGAAGCGAACAATTGCAAGTAGCGCCAAATTGGCGCCAACTAGCGCCAAGAATTCCAAGCAAAGTGGCGCCCAAAATGAACAAAGGTGGCGCCAAAATGCCACGCCAACTAGCGCCCAAGGAGAAGAAAAGATGGCGCCATCTAGCGCCCAAGGAAGGAAGAGAATGGCGCCAAGTTGCACCAAAATGGCGCCAAGTTACGTGGAATTGTCCCGACTTTTGTTAATTGGACAGAGGCGCGGCGCAAACTTGCGCCAATCCGGCGCCAACTGGTGCCGGTTTGCGGGAAAATTATATCGTGCTGTGCGAGGGAAATTTTGGAAGAATGAAATAGACTTATAAATAGGATCGTCAAGACAGAATTAGGGATCCAGACCTAACCTATTGAAGAGAGACGATGGAGGTGCTCAGAAAGGATTCTGCAGATCAAGTTCTTCTTCATCTTCTCTTTTAATTTTATGTTTTTATTGAATATTGGATTTTTAGCCATGATTATGGTTGGCTAGTTTACTTTTTATTGTAGTTAGGGTCACAGACCCTATGTGAACCCTTGTTACGACGGATTGGTTTACTTTTACTCGTTTATATAAATTGTCTTTATCTCTATCCTGTGCGTATTTATATTCTCTTTATTAGAATTGATCAATCTGATAGTTAAGGATAGTTTGAGGGTTAGAACCCTAGATAGGAATATTGAGGTTTTCATCCTGAAAGGGGCTAGGATAACGGTTCGTATGCATGCTAGGAATAGATGTGTATTGAATTGCGGATGCCTAAATTATTGAGTTAAATGCTTAATACCATGAGGAACATTGCAAGGAATTGGGGTTCCAATTGGGTTTAAAGGGTTAACCTTGCAAGGAATTGAGGGTTAACTATTAATATTTTTTAGATAATAATTTATCCGAGTAATTTTATAATTGAATATTGTAAATCAATACAGAGTAAGAAGTGGTGATCATATGGTGAGTGTATCCTAGCTACAATGCTTTTCTCATTTTTACAAATCAATTCATTCTTATTCTTATTTTTATTCTTCAATATAAAAATACAAAAACAAGTCTTTACTTTTAATTTTACTCAAATCAACATTATTTGTCACAAACAAACCCTTTTGAACTCTTCCATTCTTAAAAGGAATATTAATTGATAAACGATCACAATTCCTGTGGAGACGAACTTTACTTACTATTATATTACTTGTGCGATCGGTATACTTGCCGGGAAGCAGCACATCCTCAGTGCTTTCAGGAGTAACAACACCAAGTATCTCTTCTCTAAGAGCCATATCCATATCCATTACCCCAAGGTAAAATTGGATTTGCTCTTTCCATTCAGAGAAGTTCAGCCCATTAAAATCTGCAACAGTTGAGAACATGGAATGTGTGGCAACAAGTACTGCGAGAAATAACGTTTAAAAACATTAATGCTTTGAGTCATACATATCACATACTAACATACTTCACATATTCAAATATACTAACTTCAATGCATATTAATGTTCACCTTTGGACATCCATTAACATACAACATTAACCATAATGATACTATATAAATTTCACATAATTTGGCAATGATGCATACCGCTATCATAAATATTTGTCATCTTTGGATGTCCAAATGCAAGGCAATATGCCAACAATACCACAACGTCCATGTTCATTTTATAAAACAAATAATCATCCTTTGAGTTGATACCTAATTGTCCTATAATAATGAACTTCGATATACCACAACATGAATATCATTTCATACTATTCATAGCATCACAGTCATGGTAATTGAAACAGAATTATAAGATTTTAAATTAAAATAACACTTCAAGATTTGATCACTTTGGTGACTAACAGATCTACCATATTTAATTCCAAAACTTTTTCCAACTTTCATATGTATCAATGTCCTTTCACGTTTTCCAATAATTCATAAATTGGAATAAACATATGACAGTGACACGATCTGTCAGTACAAGGACCAGAGAATCGGCGCGAGTTAGCGCCGCTCCCGCGCGGTGGTCCTGTAGAAAATCCAGTAAAGTGGCGCGGACCTATGCCATCACCGCGCGATCCAGCGCCAGTGTTCCAGTACGAAAACCAGAAAAGTGGCGCAGACCTGCGCCATTACTGCGCGATCCCGCGCCATGGTCCAGAAAACGAAACCGTTCATTCATTCTTTCATAATACGAAAACGATAAAACTTGAATGACATTGCAACTTTGTCCATTAATATGAACGCACAGTGAAATGATTACAATATCAATAGTACTTGGACATAATTTAATAACAAAACATGGATTTCTTTCTCATTCCTTTCAAATAAGAATTTTCAATAATAAAATGCAGAGAGGAATCAACAGTCATGGTGATCAAGAATTTTCACAAACCCTATCTTTTCATGAATTAAGAATTCATTCATAATTATTTATGGAAAAACATAAATTCTTAAACACATGCTCTGATACCACATATAAGCATTAATCAGTGATTCATGTTCAACAACAACCACTTCAAGAACATGAAAGAGGATCTTTAGAATTCATGAGTTTCACATAAACATACATTTGTCCATAAATGCGGAAGATCTTTAACGGTAGAATATTTTCTCAGAGTCTTGACTCTTTTCTGTTCTTGTATCTTCTTTTGATAGGGATGAGATACAACTCTCATGGGCAGATAATGATGGACAATCAATTTTTCTCAGACACCAATAATCAAAAAACTGTCCTTTATCCTTCTTATAACTGCACCTATCAACAGTTACACCTTTAAGTAACTTTCCTTAACTGTCAATTATCATTATGCCCTTTTATTAATTAAATCAAATGACACTTAATATTATACATGAGGCAAATAATTTTACATTTTCTTCTATCTCTTTCAAACTAAGGGGCGCCGAAAAAGAAAGAGATAAAACATTATAATAGAAAGAATAAGGTTATATGTATTATGAATAGTATAGCTTCTTCTTTTTTGTCTCTTCGAAAAGCTATCGGTTGACAAAATAGAGAAAAAAAATTATTTTAATATTAAGATTTTATCTCACCAATAAAATATAGTTGTAATTAATGACATAAAGAGAAAAGATTTGCATCAACATGAAAAATTGAGGACCCTTTAAAAATAGGGAAAATATATTTATAAACAATTAAAATTGTCTCAACTGCTTAACATTAGCTGGCCATGATCAATCCATTCCTTAGATTCGTTCTCTTAATAAATTATAGAGTAAAGTACATTTTTCAGGTCTGTTTTAATTTTTTATATAAAAAATCGACTTATAATTTTTCTAAAATTTAAAATAGATTCAATTAATTAAAATTATGATCCTCTAAAATTCATAGAATATCCATATTAGTTTCTCAAAAAAATTAACATAAATTTATTTTAAATTTCAGAGAGATCATGAATCGATATTTTTTTTAACAAAATTAAATTGAGCTTCGTAATATTCATTGAGAATGTAAAAAGTAATTTACTCTAAATTATATTTATAATTTTTTTTTCGCATGCGGGGCACCCTCATGTGGTGGCTCGTTAGCCATACCGACACTACGAAGTTCGTATTTAATTGTTGGGGCACATTTTATTAACTCTCTTAATTTATTTTCTTTTAAATAATTATATATATTGTTTTTATTTTTGTAATTTAAATATTCTTTCTCTTTTATTTTACTATTTTCAGATTTTAGATGAATTATTATTAATTATATATCCTTTGAATAATTTTAAATATTTTTTAGCTTTTAAAATTTATATTTCTAAATATTAATTATATTTGAAATATATATATATATATATATATGTTTTGTAATAGAAATATCTATTCTTAGTTTTCAATAATTTGAAACACAGCCCCAGTGCAATCGACAAATTGTGGACAGTGAAACGTCCTGTCATAAATTGATTCTATTGCTCGAATAATTGAATAAAGAAAAAAAAATTAGTGGTCGGTGAGATGAATTCAATACTTTACTGAGGGCAAGTACGAAGCACATATACTAGAAGAAGAAAAGTGCAGAAACGAAGAATACAGGGCTAACTGAACAACTAATTAAGCTTAACAAATTATCTAACTAATTAATTGAGTGCTGGTCTATCATGATTCGTTGGGTATGTAACCGCAACCCCGTTTCCAGTTTTATTATCACATGGGTTTTTTTATCATTTGCTGCATCACCGTCTGCTGCTGATGTGGACTTGGACTTAGCGTTCACTTCTGATGTGGACTGTGTTATTATTGTGTACAAACATCAAATTGCCTTCTTTTGACCTATTCAATCATGCATGCTCAGCATCACTAGCTCAACGATGAGAAGGTATTGCCTGCAACTGCTGAGCTCTTGGTATTGCGAGCCCAAATTTCTCCTGCATATTTAAGTTGTCAGGAGTAACATTACATGGAAGTTCCCAATTAAAGCAATGCACCAATTGAGCCATGACCAGTTTAACGGTAATCAAACCAAGTTGCATCCCAGGGCAACCTCTACGACCAGAACCAAATGGTACAAATTGAAAGTTTTGTCCTTGATGTTCTACTTTCTTTTTCATAAATCTCTCCGGATAAAATGTTTCAGCATTATCTGACCACACCTTCGGATCCCTCCCTATGGTCCACGCATTTATTATGACTCGTGATTTTTTCTTTATATGATAATCACCAATTGTAATGCTCTCTCTGGATTCCCGAGGGACCAGTAATGGTGCAACAGGATACAGTCTTAAGGTCTCATTCACCACCATATCCAAGTAACTCAACGTCATCAAATCCTTCTCTTCCACCATTTTCCCAATTCCAACTTTATGCTCTATCTCATCTTGAAGGACCTTCATCACCCTTGGATGCCTCAAAAGTTCTGATAGAGCCCATTCAATCACGGTAGCAGAGGTGTCAATTGACCCCACAAGCATATCTACTAGAATAGCCTTGATGTTAGTTCGATCAATGACGTCGTGGCTCTGTTCGCCCTGGTGATCTATGGTTTGGTGCATCTTTGAGAGTAGTATTTCAACGAAGTCTTTACGATTCCTTTTGTCTACATAATTAGCAGCTTGTTCATGCTCTTCCATTACCTTCTCCAGCACCTCATCAATTGCTTTACTGGTTTCCTTGAGGTCCCGTGTTATTCCCTGGCAAAAAGAGTTAAATAACGTTAATCAGTAATTGTGTATTCTTGACAAAGTGAAAGAACTTGAGTGAAGTCATCATTGGAAAGATGAAAAATGAATAGCTTGATTCATTGATGCAGACAGTATCTACATATATATATAGCATGTACACCAGCTGATAAAAGAAAGAAAAAAGAGAGGGAAAGTTACAAAACTATCAGAACTAACTTAACAAGAAGCTAACGTCCGCTGTAACCCTCGTGCTGATCATGGTTAGTTAGTTGCGAAATTTTTTTTAAGAACCATCAACAGACTTGGTGGTCCCTCTCAAACTCAATTTTTTCTTTCTCTTTTTTTTATTTATTATTTTCCTTCGTTTTTATTTTTGGGTTAAGATATTTTGACTACCAATTTTTTCCACTATCACTCTGATCACCATTGGATTAGAGGAAAAGTTGAATGAAGAAAGAGAAAAGAAAAATAGCTTTTAATCCAATGGTAATTAAAGTGACAGTTGAGTGGTAGTAAAAAAAATTGATAGTCAAAATATCCTACCTCTTTATTTTTACCCCCTATTTAAAAAAATGATGATCCAAGAGTCTGACGTGACTTTATTATCTGAGTTATTGGAAGACTTCAATAAAGCTTTGCTAAACGAAACGCCATCGTTTGCTGCTGTAACCAAAACCCCATCGTTTGCTGCTGAGTTATCAACTGATGTTATGTATTTTCACAGCACTTAATAAAACTAAGAAAATATATAAAAAAATAAAGGAAAAAATGTTTCTTCAGTTACTTTGCTGCATATAAGTTATCTGAATTTATTTAGTATTGAAATTTTAAAAAATTATAAATATAAAAACTATTATAACTATGAAATAAATTAAAATTATAAATATATCATGATTTCTGATCCAAAACGACATCGTATTGAGCTTATAAACGCAGAAAAACGAACCCAAAAATAAAATAAAATTATACTTTGCTGATACAAATTTTATATACACCTGAATATCGAATACGCCAAGCCAAGGTACATAATCCGCAATATTAAAAGCTCCGAGCAATGTCGTTGCTTTTTGAACAAACCTCTTCAAGTCAAATTGATCATATTTACTACCGCGACCCAGTATCATCTTATACACTATATCCTCTACAAGGTTCTCTACAACCTCGCTAAGGTTCACAACCTGACCCACTGCCGCATCTTTCTCCAATGACTTGACAACTAGACATAGCTCCTCCCTCCGAATAGGAGCAAAGAGTTCAACTTTTGATGTGGCAAGAAGTTGCAGAGTGCAAAATTTCCTCATGCTGCGCCAGTATGGACCATATTCAGAAAACGCGAAGCCCTTGGAGCCGTATGATAAGACCTCAGAAGCTTGAATCTTTGGCCTGCTTGCAAAAACGGTGTCGTGGGTCTTGAGGAAAAACTCAGCAGCCTCAGAGGAGGAAACCACGATGGCCGGGACATTTCCCAGTTGCAAGGACATGATGGGACCATACTTTTTGGATAGGGACTGAAGGGTGCGATGTGGAAGGGTACCCAACATGTGGAGGTTCCCGATAATTGGCAGTGCTGGCGGACCCGGTGGCTTTTTATGACCAACATTTCGTTGTTTTGTATGCAAGAATACTGTGTATATGAAAGTGAAAAGAAGGAAAAAATAGATTGCTATTGCTACAGAAGACATGCTTAGATGTTTGCTTGATAACATATGGCAATGGAAAAGCTTTGATCTAATAATATACTATTGCCGAGCATTTATAATGCTGATTCCTGGGTCACACTCTCTAAAATGAATTTTCTTCTGTCTCCTTCAAACTAATGGGCGACGAAACGGGGAGCACGTGTTTCGTCTAACACACAAAAGAAGTAGGTGAAAATCATTAAGGGGTGTTTGGTTCAGGAGAAATTTTTATGAATCATAGAAAAATGTAATTAGTAGGGAAATTGTTGGGAAATGAGTTTGGTAGGAAAATGTAAAAAAGTTGTTTAGCAGGGAAAAATTTTCCCGAGAAAATTAGATAACTTTTGTAAAACCTATGTTTAATTTTTGGTAAAATATAGATGAGAAAAAATGTGATATTACAAAAATATATTTGTTTTTAAAAAATGTTGATAAGCCTTGCTGCCCTTTACCCATAAAAAAAAAAGTCTTTTCCTTATTACACAGTGTACCCAAATGTATAGCTAACTGAGAAAACCACATCAGAAAAGGGTTTCTTTGGCCTGCTTTCTTGCTTCAAAATGCTAGATAAGGTGGTTTGCTAGCAAAGGAATTTAGGTACCTAAATTAGGAACCTCTCTCAACCAAACATGGACATCCAATTTCCCCACTTCACATTTGTCTATCAATCTCCTCAAAAACCTCCAACCAAACACACTCTAAGGGGGCGTTTGGTTGAGGAGAAATTTTTTGAATACTAGGGAAATGTAATTGATAGGGAAATGGTTGGAAAGTGAGTTTGGTAGGAAAATGTAAAAAAAGTTGTTTGGTTGGAAAAAATTTTACTGGGCAAATTAAGTAAGATTTATAAAATCTATGTTTGGTTTGAGGTAAAATATAGATGGAGAAATAAGTGACAATTACTAAAATATCCCTATTTTTAAAAATTTCGCTCCTCGATCCCCTTTTCTTTTGCATCTTCAACATCTCTTCTTCAACCCCGGTAAGAGACTTATTGATTGAAGAAGAAGCTGATCTTCTCACCACCACATGAAACTTCCCATCATCTCCAATTTCTGCATCAGCTTGCAGAGTTTCTCTACCACTGAGATAGTTAACATCTGAATCAACCCTGAGGGAACTGATGGACCCTGCCGTCTCAGGGAATTGCTCTGAAATAAGGTGCTTAGCACCTCTATATTCAAACAAGAACAGCAAAAAATTGAAGTTTTTTTGCTCTTATTCCCTTCAAATACCTACAACCATTTCTGAAATATATTATTTTTAATAAGTTTTCAAAATACTCAATTCACCTCTTTCAAGCATTGAAGTTTCTTTATTTCACACAACATGAACGGGCGCATTGCGATTCATGGCACTGTTGCTGGTGGAGCTTGCAACGGGGAAGGCGTTGTCAACATTGCTCTTCACAGGGGTATTTTGGTCTGTCATGATTCACCTGTTTTATTTACCCAGCTAATTAACAAAAAAACCATGTTGAAGATGTCTTTCTCAACAGTGAAAAAGAAAGGATTTCTATGACCAAACATGCTTTGCTAGGTAAGTGGAATAGGTAGGGAAATTTTAAGAATCAGCCAACCAAACAAAGCTTTCCATGATACCCACTTCCATTTGCATGGGAAACATTTCAGAAAACCCCAACCAAACAGCACCTAAGAAAAAGAGAGAGGAAAAAAAAAAAAAAGGTTCTACCCACTTTTTGCATGAAACAAATGAGAAACATGTTATTATCAAAAAATTACTTTCTTTCTTTTCTTTTCTTCTTGCACCCGATTATGAAATATGCACATGTGATATCTCGGAACAGTGATTAATATGCATATCTTTTGCATTTATATATCAATATGTGATATGAACAGTAAACTTTATTAGATTGCCATGAGTTGAAATTTGTTATGAATGGTAACAAACTTGATACTCAATAATTTCTTGACACATTGCATAATGTCGCAAAAAAAATTGGCTTCCACAAGTCCAAGTTCGCTACAACTGATAGCGAACTTGGTAGCCAGAGTAATTCCATGACATGTGACACACCTTCATAAAAAAAATTGGACTAAATTAGCTACCATATGTGACACAATCTCATTATCTAATCAAAATTAAGGTATCAATCACAATAAAAAAAGGCTAACGGCTAATAAGGAAATTAAGAAAAGGTTCCTTAATAATCCTGATACAACATCAATGGATCATGAACTAAACCCATAATATTACTAAGAGGCCCAAAAGTCTACTATTATCACTAACTCATCTATAAATAAAGAATTAAGCTTATAAAGTACATATACTCTAAACTCTCACTCTCTCTTAGATGTCAATTGTACACACCCCACCCTCTAGTTATGCCGTTAGAATTATAGTACACAATGTTCCACTATTTTCTATAGTACCTCCCTATAGGTAACTGAAAGATGATATTCAGAGCCAACATAAACATATTAGCCACCTGCTGGATATCTCTGTCACAAAGACAGAACATATATATATATATATATATATATATATATATATATATATATATATATATATAGGTCAGGATCATTTTACACCAGTGTAAGTTACACTCTCAATCTTATCCGTTGATTCTATTTATATCTAACGGCTAATTTTTTTTAGTAATGTGAGCCATTGGATACAAGTGGATCAATGATCAAGATTGAGCGTAAGAATTCTAATTCTTACACCGGTATAAGAATATCCTGCCCATATATATATATATATACGTAATTCTAAATGACACACACATATATATATATGTGTGTCATTCTAAATGACACAATTTTATACCATTTTAGATGAAATGATATTATTTTGGTGCATAATTGATTATTTTTTACCTTCTTTCTTCTCCATTTTCTCTTTCTTCCTAATTTTACAAAAAAGAGAAAATAAAAAAAGTATCAAATATACACCAAAACGATGTTATTTTATCTAAAAACGACAAACAATCGGAACAGTGACCATTTTCTCACTGTTGGCAAAAAAAATTACCAGACTGCCACGCAAACAGTAAATTTTGCCAAAATGCCACGTGGCATATTTCGCTACACTGTGTAGCGAAATATGTGTGCAAATAATTCGCTACATAGTATAGCAAAATATGCCACGTCAGAACCAAAAATGCCATGTGTCAAAATTGGAGAAATTTGCTACACTATGTAGCATTCTGACGTGGCATATTTTGCTACACTGTGTAACGAAATATTTGCACACATATTTCGCTACACAGTGTAGCGAAATATGCCACGTGGCATTTTGGCAAAATTTACTATTGGCGTGGCAGTTTGGTAAATTTTTTTGCCAACAGTGGCACTTTGGTCACTGTTCCCAAACACTCCCCCCCACCTATACACACACACATATATATATATATAATAAATTTAGTTATGCAATATATAATTTATATTAAATTATATTTTTGAGAGTAAACACAAATTTTGGTCCCTAACAAAAAACACGGTCCCCACTTTAGTCCCTTACAAAAATAAATTAGTCAGTTAGTCTCTAACAAATTCAAAGTGGACCCATTTTAGTCCTTTTGAGGGACTAATATGGGTCTTTTTTGAATTTGTGAGGGACCACGATTTCAACTAAATGGGTCCATTTTGAATTTGTTAGGGACTAACTGACTAATTTATTTTTGTAAGGGATTAAAGTGGGGACCGTGTTTTTTGTTAGGGACCAAAAATGGTATTTACTCTATTTTTTATTTTAGTGGAGTCAAGTTTTAAAATATCTGTAAAAAATAATATGAGAATGCTGCCATAAACATTTTCTTTTTGAGTAAATACCCCCTTTCGTCCCTGGCAATTTTCACGAGACACATTTTGGTCCCGAACAATAAAAAAGGCTCATTTTAGTCCCTAATATTTGAAAAAAGGGGCCACGTTTGTCCTTCCGTTAGTTGGCATCTGACGGCCCAACTAACGGAGCACACGTGGACCGTTACTTTGCTGAGTCACCGTTAAGTATGCCAGCGTGAAAGCAATACGACGTCGTTTTATATCTTTTTGGAGTTTTGGACAGTTGACCTTATCATCGAAGGCCCTATTTGGTCCCTGACAAATTTATCGAGACCCTTTTTGGTCTTTAACACTAAAAAAATGGACATGAACATAGAAATTGCAAGACATATTGCAGCAAACCACAAACCTTTCAAACCCAATCCAATGGCCCTATTGCGAAGCATCCTGGACAGTGTAGGGTTAACCTAAAGTTATCAACATGTGAATCAAATGCAATCATTACCTCCTCTTGTAAACTTGGAAAATGATTATAGATAAAGCGATAGCGCAATTCTTTGTCCTGGAAGAAAAATATCAAAAGAATCAGCCATTTGCCCTCATTATGACAAACAGAAGCTAAGATTATTTTATAAGTTACTTCAGATATAGAAATATACTTAACTCAATACTCACTGATATATACCTGATGGCCAATAACAACAGGTGCATTTTGGAGTATAAAATGTAAGAAATTATCAGCCCTCTTCAGGATCTGGGAGAGTTCTTCCACTGTAGAGGATTGCCTTTCAATGTTCTTTATACTTTCTTGTAACTTTTCTTCAAGTATCTGTTCTCTCTGGATACTTGCCTCCAGCAACTTTTCTAAATGCATGGCTTGCTGTTTCCAGTATATAACGGTATCATACTCAGCATCAATTTCAATTCTCTTGTTTTGAACCACAACATCATCACTTTTCCTGCATGGTACATCTTGCCATATATCATAAATATCATCCAATATAGAAATTGGGCGTTTATCACCCCCATATCTTTCTTCCTCAAATCGATGCTCTTCCAATATCTCCAACTTCCTGAGTTCAACATCCTGTCTCTGCTTGCTTAGGTTGTCAAGTTCTTCTCTGAGTAGACGTACAATATTGGTCTGCTTATACTCCCGGTGTTTCATAAGATACGCCAACTGAGAAGAACCCTTCTCTGTAAAATTTGTAAGCTCCATAAGACGCTTAAAATCAGCTATAGTTGGTTCCTCTATGA